TGTGTAGGTAGTAGGAAAATAAAGAATGGGTCAACCCCCAGAACCCCACAGCCACCTCGCTAGGGTTGTGGGGGAGAAACCCTTGCTGCTGGGGACAAGTTGCTTTGCTGGGGGGTGTTAAGTATTGTGCAAAGTACTGTTTTTTTTTGTTTTTTTTTTATATATATATATATGTTGTATAAATATACTGTATATCTCTCTTGCTGCTGCTGCACCTCACTCATCTCCACCTTAACAATCGGGTGGGGTGAGGAGGACAGAACTCTTCTTAGAGTCTGTTTAACCACTTGCACTTTGTCCTTCGCTCCTGCAACTCATGATAAGCTGACAGCAGGCTTAACCCTTTTTTTTTTATTGGTAATAAACTTTTTATTGATTTTCAAACATTTACAGCAAACAGGGTTAAATAGAAATTTGATATGACAAACACAGAGCAGCAAGAAAAACAGAAAAACAGGCTCGTCGATTAGAGATACATAGATACATCAATGTCAATAGGTACTCCATTTTTCTAATCTCTGCTATAACTTTCATCAATTCTGGTAGCGTAGGAGGCGTAGTAGAAAGCTAATGCATGGGAACGGTTCTCCTGGCCGCTGCTAAAACATAAGAGGAAAATTTCCTTGCTAATTTTTGGAGATACCGGAAAAAGGTAGGCCCAACAAAAATTGGATGGGGTCAAATGGAATATAGGCCATAGCTGTAGTAGGGTAAAGACCTCTCTCCAAAAGGGTGCAATGTACTGACAAGCCCAAAAAATGTGGAAAAGAGTGCCAGTTTTATCGCCACAACGCCAGCAGAAAGAAGAAACATTCAGATTACGAGCATGGAGAACCTCAGGAGTCCTATACCAAAAAATCGGGATTTTAAAAGTGTTTTCTTTATATACTACATATATAGAAGATCTGAAAGCAGCCTCCCAAATCCTGCTCCATTGATCTAAGGCAATGTCACATTGGAGGATTTGGGGCCATTTATGCATATAAAGGTGGGTATCAATAGAAAGGGGGGCAGGCATCTAAAAGCAGTTTATACGTAGAGAGGAAATTATGCCCCGTTGGTATGGGCCTTGAATGCAGATACGCTCAAAGAGGGGAAGGCTTCTCAAGAGTCAGACAAGAGGCTTTGGAGGAAAAAAAATGGCGTATCTGTAGATAAACACGGGGAGGACAGGGCGAATTTAGCCCTACACCGCCTCCATATAGATAACGTAAACTGCATGGGTCCAAGAAGGAGGCGTTTGTGAAAGGAGGTGTCAGTGTTGGTCATAGACCAGAGAGAGCAAGGACGCATCGGACTTAGTTGTAGCCATTCAATCTCGACCCATTTATTAGGGGGGCACTGGGAGGACCATGAGACAAGAGTACAGAGGTGGGTAGCTAAATAGTACAACACAATGTCTGGTGCCCCCAGACCCCCCCTAGATCAAGGGGAGAGAAGCACAGTACGGGCAATCCGCTGAGATTTATTATGCCAGATGAAGTGGAGAAAGGGACTTCTGAAGGGAGTGTAATTTGGACACGGGGATAGAAACAGGAAGTGTCTCAGACAGATACAAGAGCTTGGGCAATATGGTCATTTTTTAGTACATTGATCCATCCAAGGAAAAAGATGGGAAGATTGTCCCAGAATTTTAAGGATTGAGAAATTGCATGAAACAGAGGGGAGAAGTTAGCCGCGTAAAGGGAGTGGTAGGCGAAGGTAAGGTTGATAACTAAATATTTCAGGGAATGAGGGCACCACCGGTATGGATAATTTAACTGAAGGGTAGATACAATTTTAGGTGGTATATGGAGTGGTAGTGTTTCAGTTTTAGACGCATTAAGTTTATATCCCGACAAGGCACTGAAGAGCTGTAAAGTACGATGCAAAACAGGTAAGGTAGTGTGAGGCTCTGTCAGCGTCAGCAAGATAACATCAGCAAACAGGGACAGTTTATAGTCACTGTAATGGGTGCGTATCCCTTGGATGTTCGGGTTGGATCTAATGGCTATGGCCAGGGGTTCTAGACAGAGGATAAACAACAAAGGGGAAAGCGGACATCCCTGGCGTGTACCATTTGACATCCGGAACCAAGGTGATAAAAACTACGCCAATTTGACCTGGGAGGTGGGGGTGGAGTAAAGAGCTTTCAGAGCTGCTATAAATGGACCGCTAAACCCAAATCTCTCCAAGACCAGAAACATATAAGGCCAGCTAAGTCGGTCAAACGCTTTCTGGGCATCCAAGCTTAACAAGAGAGTAGGAGTTGAGGACTTGTTAACAAGATCGATCAGGTCAATAGTCCTCCTAGTGTTATCTATGGCATGTCTAGCCGGTATAAAACCCACCTGGTCTCAGTGTATAAGCTTGGAAATACACCTGGCCAGTCTGTTAGTGTCATGAATGGACTGGCCAGCAATGGTGGGACTCACCTGCCTTATGAGCTGCAGTACCAGGGCTGGCCAGCGGGTGCTCCCAGCAATCAGAGACTCAACCTTGCAGCCAGCAAAACACCTGAAACTGCTTATGCTGGTGTATTTAAGGGATGGCCAGACCTGCAGACTCTGCCTTGGTGTATGTTTTTCCTGGGCCCTGTATCCTGTTCCTGCTTCCTGTTCCTGTTCCTATTCCTGTTCCTGTCTTATTGCTGACCCGGCCTGATCTATACCTCTGCTGACTTCTCCTGCTCTGACCCCGGCTCGTTCCTGACCATCCCTCTGCCTGACACTCTGTACCACGCTGCCCGCTACCTGCTGACCCTGGCTTGTGACCCCGACCATTCTCCGCTTGCTCCCCCTGTACCTACCTGCCCGATTGATATTGACCCGGCCTGCCTGACGACGCTCGCATTGTTTGTACTTTTATCTGTGGGTGGTTGGTTGGGTTTGTTTGCACTGTATTATGTTTAGTATTGCACTGCGTTTATGTTTGTATTGTTAGTGTTATTAAATCGTATTGTTTATAACATATCTGAAGTCTGCGTTTCCCTGCGTCAGTCACACACCTCTGGTCATACCCAGGAGCCCTGACATTACACCAAGGCCAATCCTGACCAGAAGTGGCTGCACAGGGAAGCCATCTTGGTTTGTTGATGGGAAGGATGGATCTGGATGAGGTTGCGTATTTATATCTGCTAGTGTTTGATGACAGAGAGTATGCTTATCAAACTCTGAAGGAGTATCCCCGGGATGAACTGCTAGAATGTATACGGCTCGCTCATGTTCTAGTAGATCAGAGCACAGAGTTCTCTGAGGTGCAGCCATTGATTGAGGTTTGTGCGGAGTTGGTTTCATCTGGTACCCCCGAATGCAGGGATGAATTTTTGCCACCATTTAGTGCAGACCAGGTAGAGTCCCTGGTGTGGTTATTAGAGGATGATGTGGGTTACTTTCTGGAGCGTTATTCCACATGTTCACCACAGGTACTAAGAGATTGTATAAATGCAGTGCAGTCTTTGGTCAGACAGGCTTTGTGTAAGCTCAGCTTTGTTCAACCCATACTGCAGACATGGACAGACTTGTTACACCCAGCCTCAGTCAGCTTACAAAGACCCAGTCCTGCTTCTAATCTATTTCCTCAAAGCTCTACTCCTGTATTCCCAACAACTCCTCCAGTTACAGCCCAGTATACTTGGCTATCTACCGCATGTCAGTACCCTGTTCCCACTCGCTGCACCTATCCTGCCTTTAACCCTGTAAAGAAGCCCTCTGTAGCAACTGTTCCATCCTCCAGCTCTTCTCTGTCTCCAGCTGCTCCATTCATTTGCAGACCTGCGTTTACTTGCAGTGCCCCAGTAGTTAAAACCAGAAAAAAGCGAAAATTCTTTCCAACCAATACCATCCTGCCAGTATCCAAACCGGTCAGCCTGCCGTCCGAGAACCTGCCTTCCGTGGTTCAGCCTGATGCCTCTCTTCAGCCTGATGCCTCTCTTCAGCCTGATGCCTCCACTCAGCCTGATGCCTCCACTCAGCCTGATGCCTCTACTCAGCCTGAAGCCTCTACTCAGCCTGAAGCCTCTACTCAGCCTGAAGCCTCTACTCAGCCTGAAGCCTCTACTCAGCCTGAAGCCTCTACTCAGCCGGATGCCTCTACTCAGCCGGATGCTTCTACCCAGCATAATGAACTGATCCAGCCTGATGATCCTATTAGGCCAGTTGACTCGATGCCCGCTGTTGATCCAGATGATCCGGTACCTGATCCGGTGCCCGCTGTCGTGCCAATTGACTCAGAGTCCGCTGTCGTACCTGGTGACTCGGTGCCCACTGCCTTGCCAGATGACGCGGTGCCCGCTGGCGAGCCAAATGACCTGATGCCTGGTGACCCAGTGCCCGCTGTCATACCTGGTGACCCGATGCCCGCTGTCGAGCCAGACGATCCAATGCCAGACGACTCGGTGCCCGCAGTCTTGCCAGACGACTCGGTGCCCGCAGTCTTGCCAGACGACTCGGTGCCTGCTGTTCAGCCAGTTGACTCGATGCCCGCTGTTCCGCCAGACGACTCGGTGCCCGCAGTCTTGCCAGACGACTCGGTGCCCGCAGTCTTGCCAGACGACTCGGTGCCCGCAGTCTTGCCAGACGACTCGAAGCCCGCTGTTCCGCCAGTTGACTCGGTGCCCGCAGTCTTGCCAGACGACTCGGTGTCCGCAGTCTTGCCAGACGACTCGGTGCCCGCTGTTCCGCCAGTTGACTCGATGCCCGCTGTTCCGCCAGACGACTCGATGCCCGCTGTTCCGCCAGACGACTCGGTGCCCGCAGTCTTGCCAGACGACTCGGTGCCCGCAGTCTTGCCAGACGACTCGGTGCCCGCAGTCTTGCCAGACGACTCGAAGCCCGCTGTTCCGCCAGTTGACTCGAAGCCCGCTGTTCCGCCAGTTGACTCGGTGCCCGCAGTCTTGCCAGTTGACTCGGTGCCCGCAGTCTTGCCAGTTGACTCGGAGCCCACTGTCGTGCCTGGTGACTCGGTGCCCGCCGCTCCGCCTGGGGGCCCGAGACCTGTCGCTCCGCCTGGGGGTCCAGCGCCCGCCGCTCCGCCTGGGGGTCCGGCGCCCGCCGCTCCGCCTGGGGGCCTGAGACCTGTCGCTCCGCCTGGGGGCCTGAGGCCTGGGGGTCCGGTGCCTGCCGCTCCGCCTGGGGGCCCGAAACCTGTCGCTCCGCCTGGGGGCCCGATGCCTGTCGCCCCGCCTGGGGGCCCGATGCCTGTCGCCCCGCCTGGGGGCCCGATGCCTGTCGCCCCGCCTGGGGGCCCGGTGCCTGCTGCTCCGCCTGGGGGCCCGGTGCCTGCTGCTCCGCCTGGGGGCCCGGTGCCTGCTGCTCCGCCTGGTGGCCCGGTGCCTGCTGCTCCGCCTGGTGGCCCGGTGCCTGCTGCTCCGTCTGGTGGCCCAGTGCCTGCTGCTCCTCCTGGTGGCCCACTGCCTGCTGCGTCGCCTGGTGATCCGATGTGCCTCTGCCCGGAGTCCTGCCCGATGTGCCTCTGCCCGGAGTCCAGCCCGATGTGCCTCTGCCCGGAGTCCAGCCCGATGTGCCTCTGCCCGGAGTCCAGCCCGATGTGCCTCTGCCCGGAGTCCAGCCCGATGTGCCTCTGCCCGGAGTCCAGCCCGATGTGCCTCTGCCCGGAGTCCAGCCCGATGTCCCTCTGCCCGGAGTCCTGCCCGATGTGCCTCTGCCCGGAGTCCTGCCCGATGTGCCGCTGCCCGAAGTCCTGCCCGGTGTGCCTCTTCCCGGTGTGCCGCTGCCCGATGTGCCGCTGCCCGGAGTCCTGCCCGGTGTGCCGCTGCCCGGAGTCCTGCCCGGTGGGCCAATCTTTGATATCCCGCCAGTTACCAGACCCGGGCGGTGGAACATTTTGCCCAGCTAGGACTGTTTGGAGCGTCCTGAGGCCGCTCCTTGAGGGGGGGGTACTGTCAGGAATGGACTGGCCAGCAATGGTGGGACTCACCTGCCTTATGAGCTGCAGTACCAGGGCTGGCCAGCGGGTGCTCCCAGCAATCAGAGACTCAACCTTGCAGCCAGCAAAACACCTGAAACTGCTTATGCTGGTGTATTTAAGGGATGGCCAGACCTGCAGACTCTGCCTTGGTGTATGTTTTTCCTGGGCCCTGTATCCTGTTCCTGCTTCCTGTTCCTGTTCCTATTCCTGTTCCTGTCTTATTGCTGACCCGGCCTGATCTATACCTCTGCTGACTTCTCCTGCTCTGACCCCGGCTCGTTCCTGACCATCCCTCTGCCTGACACTCTGTACCACGCTGCCCGCTACCTGCTGACCCTGGCTTGTGACCCCGACCATTCTCCGCTTGCTCCCCCTGTCCTACCTGCCCAATTGATATTGACCCGGCCTGCCTGACGACGCTCGCATTGTTTGTACTGTTATCTGTGGGTGGTTGGTTGGGTTTGTTTGCACTGTATTATGTTTAGTATTGCACTGCGTTTATGTTTGTATTGTTAGTGTTAATAAATCGTATTGATTATAACATATCTGAAGTCTGCGTTTCCCTGCGTCAGTCACACACCTCTGGTCATACCCGGGAGCCCTGACAGTTAGCTAGTATTTTCATAAATATCGTGTAATCAGAGTTTAATAGGGCTATAGGACCATAATTATCCGGGAGGGCGTGTAAAATCATTGTGTGGATGCGACCCTTTCAGTAGATCCCAAAACAAAGACAGAAGTGGGGGGCCAGGATGCCAATAAAGGTCTTGTAATACGAGTAAGGAAAACAGTACGGTCCCGGAGATTTGTGTGTAGAGAGATGCTTGACAACATCTAGTAATTCCTCAGTAGAGATGTCCGCATTTAGAGCCATTACATCGGGAGGTGACAAACTTGGTAGTCATAGGAAGTCAAAGAAAGCGTCAAAGGCAGCCATCTGAAGGGGAGGGTGGACATCAGGGGCTAGGCAATTATAGAGCTTCTCATAATATTCCCCAAATACAGTAGCCATTTACATGTGGCTCATATGTGGGTTTGCCATCTGACTGGAGTAGGTGGCCTGGCAGCGAGGGGGATGTTTGAGATTTGAGTCTGTTTACAAGCATGCAGTGCGGTTTGTTAGAGAATTCATAGAATTTTTGCGTAGCCCATGCAAGGGATTGGGCAGTTTTGTGCAGGTCAAGGGCTCTGATTTGGTTGCGTAAACGGGATACTTTCTGAAGCCGAGGTATAGATGGATTGTCTAATAGTCGTCTTTTGGCTAAAGACAGTTGGCTTAAAAGAGATTGTCTGGTACAAACAGAGGCCTTCTTTAAACGAGTGCCCATAGAAATACAAAGGCCTCTGAAGACAGCCTTGTGAGCCTCCCAGAGGGTTTTAGATGAGGCTACTGAGCCAATATTTCATTGAAAATGAGCATCCAGGCCCTGAGAGAGTCCCTCTGGAACATGGTCCGAATGCAAGAAACTCTCATTGAGTTGCCAGGGACAGGCCCTGGGGGGAAGTTAGGGAGAAGGAGATTAAGCAACAGTGAGGCATGATCTGACCAAGCCATAGGGTTGATCTCAGAGGAGACCAAAAAGGGGAGCAGGGGGGCAGTGACAAAAAAGTGATCCAAGCGTGAGAATACGTGATGCGGAGTAGAGTAAAATGTAAATTGCCTATGGAGAGGATGTTTGACCTGTCAGTCGTCAAAGAAGCGATCCTCCCGGATCAATTTATTGAAGGCTGTCAAAGAGGAGCATTGCCTTTTTGACGGAGCTGATGCAAAGAGGACCTTCCTATCTTTGTGAGGAGACATAATCAAGTTAAAATCCCCCCAACAATCATGCGCAGAGTAGAAAGGGACTATAGTTTATCTAAAGTTTGAGAGATAAATGTCAGCTGACCAGAGTTGGGTGCATACAAGTTCAAAAGTACAAATGGGGAACCCTCATACATACATTTCAGTAAAACATAGCGACCAAGTGGGTCAACCCTGGAGGAGGAGACCCTCAGGGAGAAGTTTTTTTTAATCAAAATAGCCACTCCAGCTTTCCCAGAGGGATCAAAACAGAATAGGATTGTGGAAAGTTCTTAGAGACAAAGCAAAAAGAGCCATCCTGTTTGAAATTAGTTTCCTGAATAAATATGAAGTCTGCTCCCAAGGATCTGAACCACTTCAGAGGCATCCATCATTTTTGAATTGAGTTAAGACCTTTGACATTATGGGGTTTATTTACTAAAGCTGGAGAGTCCAAAATCAGACTCCCTTCTGCATAGAAACCAATCAGCTTCCAGGTTTCATTGCCAAAGCTTCATTGAACAAGCTGAGGTTAGAAGCTGATTGGTTTCTATGCAGAAGGTTGTCTGATTTTGGACTCTCCAGCTTTAGTAAATAAACCCCTATATGACAACAGCTTCAAAGTCATCTTGAAACAACAATGGGTATATTAGCTATGTAACCTGAATATGCAGGAAACTTATCATCGATGAGGCAAAACAGAAAACAACAGGGATAGAGAACCAGGTGATTATCAAGGCAATGTGCCTAAGATATTATTATTATTATTATACAGTATTTATAAAGCGCCAATAGTTCGCTCAGCACTGTACATTACAGAGGGGGACAGAACATGAGACAGAACAATACCAATACAATGCAAAACATGAGGGGATCGAGGGCCCTGCTCTTTCGAGCTTACAATCTAGAAGGGACGGGATAGTGGTACAGGAGGAGATAGCTGTGGGGGATGGAGTGGTAGGAAGAGTGGAGGAGGTCGGTCAAGTTAGCAGGGGGTAGGGTAGGCTTCCCTGAAGAGATGGGTTTTCAGGGTGCTCCTAAAGGAGAGGAGAGTAGGTGATAATCTGATGGGTTGGGGCAGGGAGTTCCAGAGGATGGGTGACACCCTGGAGAAGTCCTGGAGGCGGGCATGGGAGGAGGAGACCAGGGAACTAGAGAGAAGGAGGTCTTGTGAGGAGCGGAGTGTGCGTGCTGGGCAGTACTTGGATATTAGGTCAGTGATGTAGTATGGGGCAGTATGGTGGACAGCTTTGTACGTCAGTGTTAGGATTTTAAATTTGATCCGTTGCGCAATCGGAAGCCAGTGGAGGGATTGGCAGAGGGGGTGGCGGAAACGAAATGGTTGGAAAGGTGAATGAGTCTGGCAGCCGTATTCAGGATTGACTGAAGCGGGGATAGCCAGTGGCGAGGCAGGCCAGTGAGGAGGGAGTTGCAGTAGTCGAGTCGTGATACGATGAGGGAGTGGATGAGCTGTTTAGTGGTTTCTGGGGTTAGGAACGTGCGTATTTTGGCGATGTTGCGGAGGTGGAGTCTGCACGAGTTTGTTAAAGATTGGACTTGGGGCTGGAAGGATAGGTTGGAGTCCAGAATGACACCAAGTACTCTGGCCTGCAGGGCGGGTTTGATATTGGCGTTGTTGGATGTGATGGAGAAGTCAATGGGGGGTGGTGTCCAGGCTGGGGGGAAGACAAGAAACTCGGTTTTGGAGAGGTTCAGTTTAAGGAAGTGGAGCGACATCCAATCTGATATTTCGCTCAGTAGGTGTGTGATTCGGGCAGAGACCGAGGAGGTGAGGTGGGGGGTTGAGAGATAGATTTGTGTGTCGTCGGCATAGAGGTGGTAGTTGAAGCCGTGAGAGTGTATGAGTTGGCCAAGGGAGGAGGTGTAGATGGAGAAGAGAAGGGGCCCAAGGAAAGAGCCTTGAGTGACCCCAACAGAGAGGGGGAGTGAGGGGGAGGTGGTAGCATTATAGGTAACGCTGAAAGAGCG